ACGCGGCACACCTGGCCTACACAACTTTGTACGCAATACGTCTTATGAAACATACAAACTACGCAGCCTACGCGGACAAGATAACCTACAAGTGACTACGCGAGACTACGCCCTGCAGGCCCGAGGCTACGCGAGCACTCTTGCAGTTTCACGGCCATATACCGCCATCTTAGCTCTTTCATGCAGAAAAAAAACGCTGCTCAGATGCTGCGGCATACGGCAAGACCCTCGCAACAAGCCATCGCAAGCGAACTGCCTTCGAGTGACTTAGGGCTAGCATGGCTCTCAGTAGCTGGACCTTTCTCTCCCCGACCCTCGCTCCGCCCAAAAGCCAGTCGCCGGATCGAAGCACTCGACCTCAGGTTGTTCGGCATGGATGCGATTAAACCTGGAAACCCTGAAACTCGCCACCAAAGACCTCTTGAATCTTGAGCCTTGCGGAGATCATTGATCAAAAGCAAAGAAAGAAACCGAAGCAACCGAGGCACACTGGACAGGGCGATTGAGCCATTAAATCCGCCAGCAGCATAGATCATTTCCCCAACAGTGCCTGCTCCAGGACTTCAAAACACTTCGGCTGTCTCAAGCTTAAATATGAAGCCTCTTAAGTAGGGCATGTAGGACCAGCCGGGGAAGGCTCTTGCATGTTCTCCTCATACACCTTTTCTGAACACTGCCCGGCGCCTGCGGCAAAGGCTGACCGTGGGGAGAGCATGGGAGGAAGCTTCTCCCACCGTCCTTGTATGAATCACGACCACACGGGTACTCCAAAGCTACAGCGACAAGCTGTAAGCAGTCCCCGATTGATTACTCCGCTATAAATGCTTCCAACCTCGATCGTGAGTAGCCTACTGAACATATCTGGAATGAGTAAGTTAGGCCGGGGAGCCAAAAGTGGGGTGAAATCGTTCTGCCACGCCCTGCACGCGGCCGTTGCTACCTTCAGCGAGGCGTGATTTTTCCATATTGGGTCGGAGGCGAACGCTTGTGAGAAGTCGCTACGCCGCTACACATGAGGCGGACACGTTTCAAGGTCAAAGACACGAAGGCCGCATTTCATTCCTACTCGCCTGTCAGAACCTGACTTCTACGAAGCTGCCAAAACTTCTGCGGCACATTATGACGGGTTGCTCCAGTCCATGCTCAAAGGTTCATTCGATGAGGCATGGGAGATGCATGCTCACTGCAGATTTGGTGCATTTCCCGCCCATAATGTAGACGCAGCCCTTGGCCGTTGCAGCTGCGCAACCACTCCGGGCAGTGGGCTGCCTGATGGATCTTTTCGAAGCGGCGTGAATGAGGGGGTTTGGAATTAGCACTTCTTGCAAGCATTTCTTGACTTCTGCTGAGTGCTAGCTTTGCGGCAGGCCATCCACCAACTCGTGAGTGCTCATGGATCCACGCCTGGGTAGCATCTCCCACCGCTCGATTCCTGGCATTGCCATGTCACGTAGTACAATCTTCACAGGTGCAGCAACTGATTCTGATCTGAATGTCATCAACGGGTGCTTCTTCCCCCACATGCCCCAATCGCAATTCAACGGATGTTCCAGGCAAAATCGCTGAGCCCTGGAACAACCTGTAATCAGGGCTTTGGTGCAAATATGACACTGTAACTTCAAGAACGCTGTGTCTAGAATATGCAGATTCCAATGGGTGGCCTGGGTCAAATCGTTCCACCGCCGCGAGGACGGTTTCGCACAGCCGACCTCCAAAGCAGCTACGGAATGTTCATTGGGAGTGCGAGTGGGTGCTCGTGAGCTGCAGTTCACGCATGTGGGCTGGTTCCTGTTTTGCAATGCACGGTATAGAAAGCTGCATCGAACTGGTCTGTCGGACTTGCTGACAGCCACCTTTATCTGTGTTCTCGACCTGGGGTTGTGATCGTATTCGAGTGCTTGCACTGCGTCCGTGCCCCAGAACTTGGGGGCCCAACCAGATGTACAGAGAGTGCTAGTGGCTCGGAGCTCCCAGCCTGTTTTGCATGCTGAGTGCTGAAAGCACTAAGAAATTGCACTACCACGCGGTACCTCCGCAGACGTAGATCAAGCCGTCTGCCGTCGTAGCTGCGCAGCCAGCTCGTGCAGTAGGCATCGGCGGCAGGACCTGCAAGGTGTTCGTTCTTTATGCTGCGGAGTGACATATTTGAAAGTTGAAATAGCTTCTGGGGCAGATTCTTGGACTTTGCGTTCTGCAGCTACTGCGTCCTTTGACTTTTGGGCTTACTGCAGAAAATCATCCAGCAAAGCTTTGCTTGCTTCCTGCCTTTCGGGCCTGCTGGGATGAACGAGAGATGTGCCATTCAGCAGGGAAATATCCAAGCAAAAGAATGTTGCGGGAAGCCGTGCCTCCCAGGTGCTTCGCAATGGTTCGAAGCGCTCGGCGCTATCCAATTGAAGGTAATCCTCAGAGGCCCAGAAGTGGACCAGGCAGGGCCATGAAGGCAGATCATTCACATCCAGTTCAGGATCAGGGCTGCTAAAGGCATTGAAAATCTAAAGCATTCTGCACCAAGGGACCCTGAGCATGCCATCAATGGTGTTCAGGGAGTTGGGTATGAAGCCCGTGCCCGGGATCACGCTGACAGCTTCCCCGCCGAAGACGTAAAGATAGCCTCGGGCAAAAATGCGAATCTTGTCGGGGCGTCAATTCTTGCATCAGAGCAATGATGCGGCGCGCTCGTCTTTTTGAAGTTGTGACGCTTACGGAAATGATGCAGAGCATGCTTTGCCTCGAAGATTCGACAACAAAAAATATGTGCACTTTGCATGTTAATTTGCAACCCCACCCTGTGTCATGGCCGGAAGGATCGATAACTAAGGAAATTATCCATGCAACCTCATCCTCGCGAAACATGTAACTTGCAGCCCCTTTGTGTGTGCATCAGAAAGGCGCAGGATATGCAGTGGCGTATTGTCGGCGTACAGATGCATATGGGTAAAGCAGTAAAGCCCATTTGTGTGGTTTCCACCGAGCGACCATTGCAGGCCGTTGCAGCACAGAGCCGACGGGAGCTTGGCCTTCAGCTTCAGAAGCATGCAGGTCGCCGGCTTGCATATGACAATCATGTAACAAGTCTCAAAACCAGGGCTCATTTGCAAAGTGCTGCGTGCCGTTTGGATACAGTAGTCGCAGCAAGCATCTTATGCATGGTCGCATGTGTGTGCGACTTCCCAAGGCAGCCTGTTCGCATTTGTCCCGACAACTACCGCAAAGGGACGCCGTTTTAAACATCCTCCGTCAATCCAATCCAATCGGAGCACGGCACAGTCTCGAGGTTCCAAAGTGGACTTCTATATCCTTAACCCTTTACCCTGCTGGGCGAAGCGCAAGGTCGGAACATCATGAACGGGATGAGCGAGCTGCATACGTTTGGCTCTGACTAATGAGGACCCGTGCAGGAACGGGCAGCAATCCACCCGCAACGGTGCTCTGTAGGCATCTGCAAAGCCATGACTAAGCTGAGGCTTCAAGGCTCAACTAATCGATGCAGTACACGAATTCAGGACGTCTTGGCTAAGTCACCCATAATGTTTCTAATTTTGAAGTGTCGTGCGTATCTGGGGGCATCAGAAACCTCTCTCTTACTTGCAGCTTCCAATTTTGTGCGAGAGGCATCGATGGCACCGGTTGCCACTCAGTGCCACCCGCATCGAGTCGCTTCATGACATTCAACACACCTGGCCGCAGCATTTCACGTGCAAAGCACTCCTCCTGCTGGGCCGAGTACATGTTCCGTGCTAATGCACTGTATCAAGATGGCTCCCTCGGTCCCTGCACTGTCCATGCAGGTCCTTGATCCCAGTTGGCTTTCATCATAGTCTACAGTACAGAACCGCGGAGGTGCAATCTGACAGAGGGCCTAAGTTGCGACATGCGCCGCCAATGACGTAGATGGAAGGCATAGCCTTGACAGATCAATCAATCTAGAGCCTCGCCACGCATCCCTTCAACATCTCGTCGTAAGCTCCAATACCGACCGTTCGATGTTGGTTGGGCTTGTGGGTGCTCAAGTGCCACTAGCTCCCATCAAAAATGCGTCAACACTAATCAAAATCAGGTCGGAGCCTGTGCGCAGCCCCTCAAGCTGCATGATATCTACCAACGTCCAACCAGAAGGAAACAGGATCCATCTCTGTTCCATTCAGACGAGACCTGCAGTTGAGAGGCACTAGCATACAGCACCGGCATGGATGTCTGAAGCTCCTGGCGAACGGCGCAGACTGCAGGTCCCTACACTGGAAGCATCTGAAAGCTGTTTTGTTGTGCCTCTCTTCTCTTGCAAATCATCGAAGCAAGCACGAAAGCCCACGCTCGAATCCAAAATCTTGGCTGTGCGGGTCAGCGCTGTTCCCCGCCTTGCCGAGGGCTCTACGGGCAGCTCGACAAGCTCGGGCCTGACGGTGTGGGTCAAAGGGTGACAAGATGGCAGTACATCTCTGAAACCATCAAGCGAGATGCAATTTCATGCTTGCATCGCAGATCAGACTTCTGGCAAAGGATAAGCGGGAAAGAGAGGTCTGCCTGTCAAACCTATACTCTCCTTTGCTGTTTGCCAGCCGTGGCACGGCCGGCAGTCCGGCGGCCGAAACTAACATCATCAGCAGCTGCGGGTCCTGCAGGCCAGTCCAACATCACATGCCTCTTTTGGGTTTCAGCCGGCTGGATGTTAACTGTCTTGGAATCTCACAATATTGTGGTATGCATATTGTTGATTGTAGCGCTGTCCTTAGCCCCGGAATGTCCTGAAGGACGCAGTCCATCGCCGGGGTGGTCAAGGGAAAGGGGCAGCATCTCACCTGCGAAGGGTCAGACTACGAGACGTGAAGCTGCATGGTGCTGTGGGCATAACTGTATAAGCTTCATGCTTCCGCCGCGGGCCTCATAATGATGTGTTATAGTACCTCCGGGCCAACCACTTATCTGCACCTTGCTTCAAAGCATCCGGGGTCTTGAGCATTGCTCACCACCCTATTCTCTGGACGACCTTTATTGCTAGCAGTCGCGCTGCTAATCCTGCCGCCTCAACTACTTGACTCAGAACTCTTGCTCCACGCGCCATATGAAGCAAGGAGAAAAAGCATTACTCAACAGAATAATATCTGGCATGAGTACTGAAGACGACCACCAGCACTAATAATCGTACTGCAGCTACACGCAACACATCTCGCACGAAGCACTGTCAAAGTCCGGGGACCCAGGATTAATGTAGATTGGCCGCTTGCAGGCCGTAGCTGTAAGTGCTGCTGTGGCCGCAGCTGCTACGACTACGTCGTCGTCGGCATCGAAGTAGTATAGTGGTCGTGGTCGTCGGGGGCGTCGTCGTCGTCGTCGTCGTCGGGGGCGTCGTCGTCGTCGTCGTCG